ATTCAGTCGAAGGCTTTTAAGGCATCAAGAGATAGAAGGGCCAGAGGTGTTTTTGATTATTTGGTGTAATGCAGAATGTTTAATACCCTATGAAACAAATCTGCCAGTCGCCTACCTGACATGAAGCCCACTTGGTCAGGATTGATGTACTCCAAGATAAACTCATTTATCCTAGCGGCAATAACTGAAGTAAATAATTTGGCATCCTGGTTAAGGAGAGCTATGGGGCAGAAGGAATTAGTTTCAGGGCTATCCTCTTTTGTTTTAGGAATTGGGATTATTTGGGTTCTGTGCCATGATATTCAGCATGGAATTGAACAAATTTAGGCAATGGGGCGCTAGCTAATTGTAAAGGAGCTTGTAAAATTCATCTGAAAATCCAACTCAGCCAGGTGATTTGGCTGGTTTCAGTTTATTGCTTTTTAAATCTGATCTAATTGGATAGGTTTGTTCAGGAGGATTTGGTGGGGTTCTTTGATTTTTGCAAAGAAAAAATTCTTTTTTCTTTGAAAAAAAATTATTTGATGCCGCCTTCTTCCTTCCTCCTTCTCCCTCTTCTTCTTCTTCCTTTCCTGATGTGACGTCTGGAGCTGAAGTGGGACCAGAGAAAGGAGGCCCTAGGCTGGCTTGCAATAGAGCCAGCAGGGCAGAGAAGAAGAGAGGGAGACGGAGCGCTGCTGCCACCACTGCCATGGACAAAGAGGGTCCCCCAGAAGGTTCCAGCAAGCAGTGGCAAGGTAAGTGGCACACCGGAAAGTAGCCTAGCAGAAGCAGGCAGAGGAGGAGGCACCAGGGACCGAGTGCTGGGGCCCAAACCTTCCCACTGTGTCACTGCCCCTCGTCTATTGTTGTTGTTGTTGTTGTTCTGTTCCGTCAAGTCATTTCTGACTATGGTGCACCTGTCATTGGCAAGGTTTGTTCAGAAGGAGTTTGCCTTTTTCTTCCTCCTCCTCCCTTTTGAGCATCCCTCAGAAGCTTCCTTCTCCTCCTCCTTCTCTCTCCCCCCTAGTCAGTGTGAATGTCAAATGGGAGTAAATGGCCATGGAGAGACTTGATCATCAAAATAACCCGGTTTCCACATAGGGTTATTTTGTAGTGTGAATGAGACCCATATGTGAGATCAGTAACCAAACTGGTACTGTGTGGACTGCATCTGTTCAAAGTTTTAATAGCCCAGCCATGCCTTTTCAGGATACTCCACAGATTTCAGGATACTCTAGCGATCACATCCACCCTCCCCATTGTTAGTTTAAAAAAAAGGCAACTGGAACTGCTTCCACACTGCAGAATTAATGCAGTTTGAAACAACTGTAACTGTTATGGCTCCATCCTATATAATCCTGAGATTTGAAGTTTGTTGTGGCACCAGAGCTCTTGGACAGAGAAGGCTAAACATCTCACAAAACTACA